AGATGTTCTTTAAGGCATAAGATAGTTCTTATGACAAAGATATAAGACTTAATTCATAAGACACTGTCTTAAAATTATATAAGTCAGCCTTTCTGCTACAGCTCTTAAATGTCAAACATTTATCTATTTCACTTTAAATTTCAAAAATGCATTAGTTAGTTATTACCCATATTAGTACCCATATAAATAAATACCGACCACTGTGTATATTTTTGTATTTGAAAAGAAATTTCTTATTTACAGATGGTAAAGAGGAAATTCAGGAAGTGCCATTCGGGAAGTTCTCTCTCTTAGAAGAAGAATCTAAAAATCAACCTGATAGAGAAACACTTATACTTAATTATTCACAGATGATAGAACCACGCCTAATTTAGTACTCTTTTATTTTATAAATATTTGTTCCTATATTTTATTTTCATTCTGTTTGACAACGCAATTATTTATTTTATGTTTAACTTTTTTATTTACATTTTCTATGCATTTAGAATTGTGTACTTGTTCAGATTAAGTATTTGATTTTATTACGTTATATTTTTTAAAAATATTTAATAATAAATTTTGACATTCGCATTAATATGCGATCTAATTTTATATTAGTACTGAGTTCATAATACAAAACATGTTAAGTTATTAAACTACATTAGTTGTATAAACGGATTTAGTAATATTTATTTACGTGTAATTAGCAATTAATTTTTTGCCATAGTTTTACACATCTTAGAGAGAAAAAATATTGAAATATTAAATAAATATTATTACATATGTCTAATAATGTATAATATAATGTATAATATAATTTACACACACAAGGTAAGTTTTCCTAGATAAATTCGTATCGAATTATTTTATAAAGCAATAAATTAGTTACGAATTACAAAACTATATAAATTTTTTTGTCATTATTTAGTTTATAATTCGATTCATGCAAATAATTCAATAAATATTTTATTATAATTATAAACTATTTTTCACAAATTAAAAAAGTTTTATATATATTCAAATTATTATTTTAGTATTGATCTATTTCATATTGAACAGATGCACATACAAATATTTTTCTATGAGATAAAGAAAAATTTTTAATATTTTCTAACATTAAATTTTTAATTTAAATTTTTTTACTGTAGTAATAGAATTTGAAATTTATTCTAATAGTATTAGCAGTTATTGTTCGTCATAATGTTATTGCCTTTGATTAGATTATATTTGATTCTTATAAAAATAAAAATCTGAACATCATATTTTTTACTTAATAAAAATTTTTAGAAATGCACGACTCATTTGCGGATTAGGGACTTTACCAAATAGATTTAAAAGCGAGTTTTATGTGAAATTGGGACTTATATTCCTTGTAACGCATATTTCGAAATCACATTGCCTATGTGCTAATTAATATTTTTCATAAGTAGAATGGATTAAAATGAATTATAACATTAATTTTATTAAAAAGTTTAAACTTTTAATAAATCATAATTAATTTTAATTGTCATTGATATCTATCTTTATTTATATATATATATATATATAT